ATCATCCTCATCATCATCCCCATCATAATCCTCATCCTCATCCTCATCCTCATCCTCATCCTCATCCTTATCCTCCTCATCATCATCACCATCGTCTTCATCATCACCGTCATCATCATCATCATCATCAGCACCATCACCATCATCATCACCATCACCATCACCATCATCATCATCATCACCATCATCCTCATCATCATCCCCATCATCATCCTCATCCTCATCCTCATCCTCATCCTCATCCTTATCCTCCTCCTCAGCATCATCACCATCGTCTTCATCATCACCGTCATCATCATCATCATCATCATCCATCAACATCATCATCAACATCATCACCATCTATCATCATCATCATCACCATCATCATCATCCTCATCATCTTCATCATCATCACCATCATCACCATCATCCACCATCACCTTCATCGTGAGTGTTCCGAAGCTCTCCGCCCAAAGAACCCTGGCGAAAAAAAATCTACCAACTCCACAGGCTGCGGCCAATGTTTCTGGTGACGAGCGCTAGCCGTCCGCAGAGGTCGCCGATCGGGGACTTGCCACGTCTGCCGCTCAGGTAAAAAGCAGAGAAAATATTTTCAGATTTTGGGTCTAGGGCTTTGGGTTTAGGGTTTAGGGTCTAGGGCTATGGGTTTAGGGTTTAGGCTTTAGGGCTGAGGGTTTTGAGTATGAGCCTCAAAGATCCCGCATGGAAGCTGCTTGAAGTAGCAAGGCTAGCCTTTCCCTGCTGTGCTCCCAAAGCCAAAGCGTCAGTGCCCTGCAAGCTGATATCTGAGCAGCCTTCATATCCCCAAGCATGCGGCTTAGGGTGTACTTGGAGGTTCATGGGTAGTTATAAGTAGGGTTATAATTAGGGTAACTATAATTATAACCCATATTAGGGGACTTATAGCTCCACTTATAACTACCCATGAACCTCCAAGTACAGCAGCTTGGTGGCAGCTTCCTGTCGCATGGTATGTGCATGGAAAGAGCCTTAGAAGAGAGACTCGAAAGTCGCTACGGTTGATAATAGAAATCCTGCATTACCTTAAGGACCCTAAACTATGGGAATTATGGTATATTCCTTATTATGGGTAATGCAGGATTTATACCATCAACCGTAGGACCTGCTGAGTTGGCAAAGTCTCTCAGGTTCGCGGCTTGCAGGTGGTGATCAAGGCACCAGGGTGCGACATCTTCGGCTTCAGGGTTTGGGTGCAGTCTTCGGTCGGGGTCGTATTTCCAGCAGCTGTTGCAGAGACAGGTCAGGTGGATGCTTTTCTCCAGAGCCTTGCAAGGAATGGGGAAAAATGGTCTGAGAGCAGTGAGAAACGTCTTCACATGCTACTACTAGTGTAGGGGCCCAAAAAATTACCTACACAATTTGGGGGGTTCCTTATTATTACTATACTATCATATACCCCAGTTTCCTGTTCTAATTATTAATGCCTCTACTACGCATCTCGGTCAGTGCCGCCGCGATTCTGCTCAACCCGGCTATATCCACCCTTGCATCTGCTATGCATATTTACCTGTTTCTGCTTGCGGCTTCATTCTTTGATGAGGTCTCGGCTTCCCTAAACCCTAAACCCACAAGGTTTGCCGCCCAAATGCAGGGGGAGTACGTAGCCGCATTAGTCGTCGTGGTCGTCGTCGTTGCCGTCATCGTCCTGCTCGTCGTCGTCATGGCAGTAGTAGCAGCAGCAGCACTAGCAGCAGCAGTAGCAACAGCTGTAGCTGCAGCGCGGCTTCAAGAACATCGAACTCACAGAGAACCCGGGCAATGCAGCAGGATGCTGCTCTCATGCGACATAACCTCTAAAAGGCCTAAAACCTTCCAGGACCACATCTTGTGCACACCCCTACACCCTGAACCCCAAACTCCTCTGACTCTCCGTGCCCAAAAGGTGCCGCAAACTCGGCAATATTGGTTCGCTGCCAGTTCATCTTCGACACGGCCGGCTCCTCTCGCCAGGGTTTCGGCCAGTGATTCGGGAGAACTTCCGGCTTTTGGAGTTCTGTACACAGGTTTAGGGTTCAGGGTCTTAGGGTTTAGGGTGTAGGGGTTTAGGGTTTAGGGTGTAGGGGTTTAGGGTGTAGGGGTTTGGGGTTTAGGGTTTTGGGGTTTAGGGTTTTGGGATTTAGGGTTTAGGGTACACAAGTCGGTTTGTGTTTTGGCTCTAGACCTCCACCTTTTCAGGTTCCCCACGGCATCTGCAGCTTCAGGGTGCCTTTTTGGGGACCGCCCGGTAGGATCAATTCAGAGCGCCTTGGGGGATCCGTACCATAGGGGCCTTAATGATTAGAATAGGGTTTTGGGGGTTCCTTATTATGGTGATAGTAGAATATACCCCAAAACCCTATTCGCATAATTAAGACCCCTGTAGGGTTTGGGGGAGTCCTTATTAGTTATGGTAGAATATACCCCAAAACCCCATTCGCATGATTAAGACCCCTATATTAGCCCCGCTTTTGCGGGCTTCAGATGGAGATCCAGGCTTTGGCGTCCCGGAGCCCTACCTAGAGGAGTCTGTACAATAGGCAAACTTAAGCCCTAAACCCTGAACCCTACAACCCCAAAAAGCCCCAAACCTCCGAACCTTTATAAACCCTAAACTCTTATGACACAATTGGGACATGTTCCGCTTGAACTATGTTTATGAAAACAAGCTAGATTTATCCAGCTTGACAGAAACTGCTGAGCAAGACCAGCAATACATAATGCAGCATAGTGCAAAACTAAGCCTTTGATTTCTCCGTGCCCGTGCTGCTCCAATGCCTTGCATTTGAGCGACTCGCAGCAGTCACAGCTGGCGACGGCTGAAACAAAGCAGCCTTATCGGTATGTGGGGGTTTCCGAAAATAGGGGACCCTAATATAGTGCCCTAAATAGTAGGATCCTTATAATTCTAAGGACCCAAAATAAGGTACCCCTTATTTTCCGAAAC